AATTATTTATATCAGAATAAAAAGAATACAAAATACTTACGATTGTCTTGCTGTTAAGTATTTGATGGCAAAACATCTGCGTTCAATATCTACAGCTTCTGTATCATCTTTCTCACTGTTTGAAAATTTTAAAATGTGATATGCTGCTAAGTAATTGTTCTTCTTCTTATTAATTTCTGCATCGATAGTAGCCATAGCTGTGTCTCTGTTAACGATATTTTATTTTATCTTATTTAATTTTATGATAGAAGTAGATAATGTTAGTTGTTACCAATTATCTTTTCAATTCGTTGATTAACCCTCTGTCTAGTGTTGTCATTTTTGACCCGTGTTTAGAGCTACTCGAATGCAATAACGCACATAGTGATGGAAACTGCTTGTTTAGTAACTGAAACCTGATCGCACTAACACACGAACACCAAGTGGCTGACAAGTGTCCGCCAAAGTACCAAAGTGACGAAGACTCAAGACAAAGAAATCAGTTTTTGGTAACGTTCTGAGGAAAAAAAACGTGTGCAGCAAATCGAAGCAATTATTATTTTTGTCCTTTTTATTACTTTTTTCTGTGGTTGTAGAGCGTTTAGTTTCACCAGTCTGCCACAACGCGGCGCTAGTGTTTCTTTTACCCCGTAAAACAGAGAAATTTTCATTTGCGAAAAAACCTAATTTAGCGAAATAAATTGTGAACTTTTGTAATTGTATTACATTAATTAGACCGTTAGCTTTCTTTTCATATCCCTTTTCACCCGTAAAATGCAGAAATAAGTATTTTTATAAATAATTAGTACCACTGAGTTACCGCTAGATGGCGCAACCATATACAATTTTGTAGCGACCTATAGTTCCTCGAGTACGAGTTTCGAACATCAACTTGCACAAGCCGCAAGTGGCTGTGCGCCTAGCGTCGAAGTCAACCGATATTCGATGTTAAGCAAAACAGAGTGCGGAACCGCTAGGATGGGTGACCATCCAGCCTAGCGAGTAGAAATAACAACAAGCGGTCTGGGGTAAGGGGTCGCTGCCATCAGCCCCACTGATGAGTCTAGGCAGCGACTCTGAGACGAAACGCGCACAACCTTTCCTCACCTTACCCACATCATCACTTTCTACATTATCCTCGCATTATCATCGCCATTTCAAAACCCTTCAATTTTATAGCGATTATGATAATTTATATTTATATCACAATACTATAAATAAATAACTCCGTAATTAATTTTAGTTGTTTATATAAAAATATTATCAATATCACAAAATATACAGTTACTAATAATTTAATGAAGATTACATAATGAAAGTTAAATGACGAAATGACGAAATAACGAATGAAGAATTCTACTATGGCTACAATATATATAAGTGGCAGTAAACATTTCCATGGTGATAATAAAATTAATAGCTATTTTTAAATACTCTATTGTTTATATTAAATATACATCTCGACGGAACATAGATGTCGTTGATCTAAATTCTTCGAAGTAGAGGTCGCTACATTTTGTGATAGTTCGCACTAATTAGGGAGAAAACCTAATTAAGAGGAATAATTTGCGAACTTTTTTATATGCCTCCTTAAAACTAGGCTCCCCGCTTTCTTTTTGTGTGTTTTGTCCTAGAAAAACGTGTGTGTAAAAAATTGAATTTTTTTTCAATAAATCGAAGGATGTCCTTGTCGCACACTATTACTTTCCTTGTCTGTCTTCATTAGACAAGGAGGGCAGTAGCGTGCGACAAGGACAGACCTATTTGTGCGATAGACAAGGACAGAAATATACGCGCGGTAGACAAGGAGAGTGATTATGTGCGACAAGGATAGACATATTCGCTCGGTAGATAAAGAGGGCAACAGCGTGTGATAAGGACAACAACATAAATTAGTTTCGGCACCTATCCTAGGGGTAATCCACACGGTGTGTATGCTTGAACAATTAAATAAACTTCTGTGATTATTTTCTATAATAATACAATTTATAATACAGCAAGTTATTTATTTATAACTCCGAGTCAACAATAATTTTATAACTATTCAAATGAATATTTCAAAATATATACTTATATTTGGTGTGAAATTGCTGGAGCCATCTTAGTCCTTTTTCTGAGGTACTCGACATTATCGACTAATGGTTTTTATAAGCAATTCACTTAAAATGACAGAGGTATTTAAATGATCATTGCTTGTATTTAGATAATGAGTTTAACATCAATTAAGAACAGGAAAGACATTAAATTAAACGTATCTATTTCATTTATTTCAGAATCTGTTTGTATCTCAGATTCTGAAATACCGACCTGAAAAAAATCATATAGTTTCTTGCGCCCTCTGCGATTTGTTACGCAGGATCTAGGAATTAATTATATTTTGAACTCAATCGTGTCGAAAGTGATAAAATCGGTAGCTACGAAACTGTGGAAAATATTTTCATCCATCAAATTTTCAAATGATCATAATTAAACGTTGCTAGCAGTGATAAACTACGTTTTATTTCTGTTCAATTTAAATGAATACTATTATTGTTTGTTAAAGTGACCTTCGAGACTTCGAATGAACATACAAAAATGTCACACGATCATAACAAAGATTCATATTCAAGGAATATAATATAATATTCTGTTTGAATTTTTAAAGACGTACATAGATAAGGGTAAGACATTCATTTAACAATAATTGCTGTGTCAATTAAAATTTTTCCTCTGTTGAAAAAAAAGAAGAAAAAAAAAAAGAGAAACATCTAATACCTAACCAAATTCTCTTAAATTATTTGTAGACTCGAAAATATAATGACAAGAAAATATAAGGGCGAATCTCTTCTTTTTCGATTTATTTCGCTTCTGAAAAGTCAGCCGTACGTTCACTTATGACATAAATCACGATGAAACCTATATGAAAGGTAGGTCAGAAACGGGTGTATGTGTGTATACATATACAGGGTGTTCCGCGACTCGTGATTAACCGACTGGGAGGTGATTCCACGTATGAAAATGTGTTGAAAGGGAAGAATATAATTTGTTCGTTAAAATTTTATTCTACAGTTCTCCCTTATTTTTGCGCGTGCCGATCATTCACGCCTGTCCAGTGTGGAGTTACCGAAAGTCAAGTAGTACAGTTGATAAATTTTCAAACTTGATTTTCTCAGAAACGAAGACTTCAATTTTATTTCTTTCTTTTCGACAGATTTTTACGCGTGGAATTACCTACCGGTCGGTCGACCACGAGACGCGGGTCACCCTGTATATACAGACTGCGCTATCGGGTGCGTGCACTGCCACATCGCGTTAAACCATTCCTTATATCGTAATCTAAGGAGGTGGTTGGCCGCACGGTCACGGCGGTAAGCTTGCATGCTTTCAAACAGAGTAGGTTAAAGAGTTCGTGAATTTCTCATGAAGGAAAATGCATGGCTGCTCGTTGTCGAACCAGAAACTTATTCCGTCACAAAAGAGTGACAGGTATCGCCATGGTGTTTCAGAGTATGGCCAAGTTGAATGCCCACCATCCCCACTTTGTGAAGCTGTTCCTGAAAACATCCATGTCGAGGATGACCACTCACTGAGTCAACTCTTTTGAGATAGATTCTTTTTAATATCGTTTCTATGGTACGGTAGTTTTGTTAACTAATCACAAATAGAGACTTTACTCGGTCGATTATATTAAGAGACGTTTTAAATATCTTGTTGAGCGCGAATTGAAGTTAGTTAACGTAACAGTACCGTGGTGTTACAAAGTTATTTAATGCTTATCAATCACGGTGTGCTTTCAGGTAAAGTAAAAAATATTAATAACTGAGTGCAAAAGTAAAAGGGATTGCAAAATAAAATAAAATAAAGTTTTGTCAAGATTCAGAGGAATTTGAGAAAGAATAGCGCGCGGCAGAGAGATTGGACAATTGCATAGATACATCTGTACACTAATGACTAGCAGAAATGACCAAAAAATTTTCCATCTCGCCGTGTACCATGACAGCCAAAAAAAAAAAAAAAAAAAAAAAGAAGTCTAGCCTCGGGCAGGATTTTTAGCCGTTTATTATAGTCACACGTTCCATGTTCAAGCTACTCCGACAACATACATACATCAAAATTAAATTCTGTTATGCGACCAGCGAACGTACATTTACACCTTGAATAAGGTTATTACTTGCGTGGCTATGAACGCAATTACAATAGGTTGTTTCGTTCCAATTTGCAGACAGGTGAGCTCGAATGATTCATTAAAAACTGGAACAACCGAACATGCGGAGATGAAAATTAATCAAGGAATTGAAAATATTAATTATATCTCAGGAATAACTTTCCTTCTCTTTGATATTATAATTCAGTTTTCAGGTGCTCCACTCTGATTTATTTAACTGCTGGTCAAAGTAGGATGCTATTTAAGAATTGAAAACCTGGTTCCAAACGGAGACAGTTTAAAAATTCCTCGATTTTGAACAATCAAGTGCAATCAGATTATTGACATCGCCAATGTTACTGATGTACACGGACATTCAATGTATCGTGAGAAAAAGAGCAGAGAACTTCGTTGATTCTTCGAAACGCAGAATAGCACTCTTACTTTCGGGAATACCGAAATCACCGAGAGTCTTTCGAGAATCGCGGCGGACGACTTGAACATTCGTGAACCATTCTTGAGAATCTCGAACTCTCTCGGGAATTCTGAACTCTCTTGGAAATCCGGGAATTTTCTCGGAGAATGGCAAACTGTCTCGGGAATCCCGAACATTGTCGGAAATCGTCGAACTTTCTCAGGAATCCCGAACTGCCTCGATTTCACGTGGATCTTCGTCCATCGAAGATAATCACGGGGCTATTCTTCTTGTCTTCTCTCTGTTCGATTGATCGATTGTTTGATTTCAAGTAACTCACAGATCAGTCAAATGTTCTCTTTGTCATGAATTATTTATTTACTCTGCATTTACGTACTAACGATATAAAAGACGAAGCGGAAACGAATTTCACGGAAGATGAAGAGTAAATATTATTTTTACTTTAGTACTGTTTCAGAGGGAGCGAAGGTATATGTATTTGCCCAGAGTAGCATTAAGAAGCGAGGTAAATAGAAAGAGAGTTATTTCTTTGTCTTAGCTTGTCGCTTCTTCTTCTTCTCCGTTGGTCGATACGGCCCTAACTTCCGCCGTACCATAACACCTCGCCACCAAGCTTGAATCTTGATTGCGCTTTTTTGCATAAGTTCCTGACGTTCTTTTTCCTTTTGCAGTGCTTCCTTCTTAGCGAGGTACGTATCTATGAATTCCTGATTAGAACGGTACTGCAACATCGTTATGGTTTTATTTTTAAACACGGAGCAATCGATTCGATGATTAGGTCGTAGGGAAGAGTGAAACGCGAACGAACATGAAAACGGGGAGGGAGGGAGAAGAAGAGAAAGAAGAAACGAATAAGAAACCTGTGTAAGAACGGCTCGCGAGCTCGTTTTTATCGTGCAGTTATTTGCATTGTTCTCGCTAATTAACTTGCGCAACGCGAACGTAACCACGTGAACTGGAAAAAAAAAAGGAATTCACTTCCTAACAAACCTGCAAGCGGTTTGTTAAAAGCCAGGAAGCATTGGGGCCGAGTGTGGGGCAAAGATATCTCTTTTCCCTCTGCGTCGATGACGAATTCCATGTGATTTGAAATAGCCACAAATAGGTTCTTGACACGAGTTATCGATTACCTGGTAGAATTTCTGCGCTGCACGCTGATTCTACTCTTGCAGAAGGAAGACTCGAGGGTCGAGTTTTGATTACCAATAGGATTAACGTGATCGCGATGCAGCAAATCAGCGGCACACACAGAATATTTAATAAGCCGTGACATTACATTTACATTTCTATATTCGTTTGCACTTTTTTTTGATGCATTTCGCTCTCTGTCGAATAAATTTCCGCGAAATGAGAAAAAGAAAGGGAGAGAGAGAGAGAGAGAGAGAGAAAACTTCAGAATTTACATCGGCCGACGGTTTTTCATTTGTACAACGTGTCAGGGGATAGAAGAATCAGAGAAAACCACGGGTTTGTATATCGAAACGATTTGAAAGGAATCGATAATTCCTACGGACTGATTAACGTGGCATTCGTCTCAAGGAAAACAAATGTGAAATTCTATCGTATGGAAGCTGAGCTACCTCTTCTTTAAGTTCGTCCAACTCCTTTCGACGTGTTTCTATCTCGATACGTAGCTGCCGGATCTCCTTTTCGTACGTCTTTGTTTCTCGTGCGTAACGTTCCTCCCATTCCTTGGTCTTTTCCTCTAACGACTGATTTAAATAACAAGCTTCATTTAAATAACGCTTCTTTTTTTCTTTTCTCACGTTGCAGGTAAATGCAAAGTGTCCGAATGACACGAACAGAATCCAGAAGTCTGTGACGCCTAATTAAGTAGAAATAATGCAATACCCACCGCTGTTTCCTGAGTCAGAAATCTCGTCAGCTCGGCGTGGACACGCTGTTCATTTTTTTCACGTATACGCCACTTGTCCAATATCTTCTCCAATTCTTCTACTTCCATGTCCGAACGCAACGAATTCTGCTCGTATCTCGCTTTTTCCCATTCCGTAACATACTCCAGCTCCGTGTCAGCGATTAATTTCAGTTTCTCCACGTTACGCTGTTGTGTGTGTGTGTGTGTGTGTGTGTGTGTGTGTTTGAAACGCAAAATTAAAAATTTCAACGCGTCTTCGATGAAAAACGTGGCGCCAGTACCTGTTCTTCCGTGAGCTCATTCAGTATTCGTCTCTTCTCCTGTTCATTGGCCAGCTTCTTCTCAGCGATTGTTTTCTGCAGTTCCGCCGCGGCGTTTCGTAGTCTCTCTTGCTCCTCGAGCAGGGCCTCCTCCTCTTTCTGGCGTGTCGTGATTTCTTCGATCTCTTTCGTCAGTACCTCGAACGTTCCGTGATCACGGATCTCTTCCTTCAGCTTCTCCATGATCTTTCTCATGTACAAACTGCGCAAAGTCATTGGTCATTGAGTTTGTTCTTCATTATCTTGAATTTATATTAAAATCTTTAAATTATGTGTATTTTACGTTATTACATATTTTGTTATAGAGTAATAATTATTCTCAATACTTTACGGATTCTTTCTTTTATAAAAACTGTCATTCAACATTGCCAGCTTTGAAGGAAAAACTATTTGTCCTAAGATTTTTGAGCGAGGATATATATATATAGAGACATGTAGTAATACACGGGTAGTCTTCAAATTATGTGTATTTTACGTTATTATATATAGAGACATGTAGTAATACACGGGTAATCTTTAAATTATGTGTATTTTACGTTATTATATATTTTGTGATAGAATAATAATTATTGTCAATACTTTACGGATTCTTTCTTTTATAGAAACTGTCATTCAACATTTCCAGCTTTGAAGAAAAAACTATTTGTCCTAAGATTTCTGAGCGAGGATATATATATATATATAGAGACATGTAGTACACGGGTAATCTTTAAATTATGTGTATTTTACGTTATTATATATAGAGACATGTAATAATACACGGGTAATGTTTAAATTATGTGTATTTTACGTTATTATATATTTTGTGATAGAATAATAATTATTGTCAATACTTTAGGGATTCTTTCTTTTATAGAAACTGTCATTTAACATTTCCAGCTTTGAAGAAAAAACTATTTGTCCTAAGATTTTTGAGCGAGGATATATATATATAGAGACATGTAGTAATACACGGGTAATCTTTAAATTATGTGTATTTTACGTTATTATATATTTTGTGATAGAATAATAATTATTGTCAATATTTTACGGATTCTTTCTTTTATAAAAACTGTCATTTAACATTTCCAGCCTTGAAGAAAAAACTATTTGTCCTAAGATTTCTGAGCGAGGATATATATATATAGAGACATGTAGTAATACACGGGTAATCTTTAAATTATGTGTATTTTACGTTATTATATATTTTGTGATAGAATAATAATTATTGTCAATACTTTAGGGATTCTTTCTTTTATAGAAACTGTCATTCAACATTTCCAGCTTTGAAGAAAAAACTATTTGTCCTAAGATTTTTGAGCGAGGATATATATATATAGAGACATGTAGTAATACACGGGTAACTCTATGAAAAAAAAAAATCACACGGATTCCGGAACTGTTTCTCAGTACACGCGTGTATCCCTAAACAGAGACCTCCACCATGCGTCGTTATAACATTCCTCTGACCTGTTTTCATAAATTTTCTTGGAAATGGCTTGCTCTTTCGCATCTTGGATCCTTATAATCTCCTCGGGATTTAGTACTTTCAAATTTCTGCAACAGAATTATACGTACAAACGTATAACGTGAAAGTCAAATTTCTTCCGGCAGAGAGTGTGCGTTTCATCTTTCCGCCGTGTTATCATTAGCCTTAGACGTATCATTGCATAACGTACTCCGTATCGAGGGGCAAGCAGTCGACGAGAATATCGTTATCGTTCTCCGTGGGCTTCCTCAGTGTGCTGTGGTAAATGGCCAGCGCGTTCGTGAACTCCTCGAGCGCCGCTAAAATTGCTGGCCGTTCCGCCGGGGAGAACCGTGAAGAACCATCCGCCGCGAGCGTAGCCATTGAGTATCCGCGTTTTTTTTACTCCGGTCGTGGTTTTCTTGCGCCTCCCTTGCTCGCTCTTTACCTTCGCACATTGAATTTCGTCGTACAGATCCTTTTGAATGTTCACCTGGATGTTATTTCTAATTCGCAAAAATTTCTCAAGCGGTGCTATCAGATCAGCGAGGAAATCAAATCGAGTTGGGGGGGGGGGGGAGACACGTTTTCAAACTTTGCTCGGCTTAAATTGTATCCGCGAATAAATCGCTAGGTAAAAGACAGACGTGCTATTGGCCACGATTCTCGCCTCGATCTTTCCTTCATTCATCATTGTGTTTTCGTTTGTCAAACGAGTTATCTCGTTTCGTCAAGGAACGATCGTTAGTCCTTCCCCTTTGACGACCGTAATGTACAATCATCGGCGAAATGTTTTTACAGTGTCTCGAAGCAACTCGGATCCCATTTAAATGCAAATCGCGTCATGCGGGTCGGCTGCTTATTTTAAGGGTGTGACTCGTGAGATAAAAATCGCAATTATCGTGCCGTTTCTCTCCCTTCCTTTCTCTTTATCTTTTTCTCCTCGCTGTTTTCTAACGGAACACACGTGGCGGTTACTTACTTCTCGGCTCTCACCTAAATTAAAGTTGCCTGGTTCGTCGGTGGAAAAATTGCGGATCTGGTGTCCAGTCAGTCAACATACATAGGCGAGAGAAACGTCGAACACGTGGCTATAAAACTAATCATGATACACCGCACTTTTGGCGTAACTGAATGCTGCTCGATAAAAGGTGGTTCCCGGAGCTCTGGAGCACGTGATACAGTTTGATCCATCGGTGCACGTTGCCCGTAGAAACAAGCGTCGGGACGCTCGTTGCATTGCCACTTGTTATAACGCTGGAATTTTTAAGTATCTAACAATTATTTATTTCTCTTTCGATAATACTCCTTTTTTATAAATTAATCACATTTTCTTTTGTCGTTTTACCTATAGGAGAGCGTGATGTTTCATCATCGCACAAGTGTCAATCGGAGCGATTCCCATGGCTAATTATGAAGTTTCTTTCGAATAGACCATCAAAGTTTTCTTAATGACCATGCTTCAGTAGCATGACGAATCTCACTGGATTCTACTACTATTTGAAAGTATCTTTCAATTCTTCTTTTCCTTTTCTCCTTAAATATTTTAATTCACCCTTAAAGTATCCTTGCTGGCTCTCTGTGAAGTTATATCCCTTCAAAGTGAACGGTTTAAAATTGCGGAATCTTTTCAGGTGACCCAATATCACGAGAAATGTACATAAAGGGTAGAAGGGTAATCTCTCTCTGTATTCGAGGACCGTTATTAATTGTAGCCGTATGTGAGTTCATTTCCTTCTCTCGAAGTTTGAAGTGCCCGGGAAGAAAGGAAGATCGTGGCAGAAGGTCGAGTCAAGAACTATTAAGCAGCCGGGCAGGCGTTATAGATAGTCTTCCATGTTAAAGCTCGATTGAGGAATTCATTGGGAGAGATATCTCGTGGGCACTCGACAACTTCTTCCTTCGTCCCGTTCGTTGATTGTCTCACTCTGGCGAGGAAAGAAAGGTTCAGCCAAATACGTTCCGTTCTGATTGGAAAACTTTTTCGTGCTTTAAACTTTTTTTTTATCGGATCTCTATGTTGTCTGTGGCTCGTACTGTAGCAATTTCAATATTGAAATGTTTATTATGAGATGATCATTATGACGGGATATATCAATAAAAATATATATCATTATAACACATGTAAAAAAATTTGGATTCTGTTTCTTTAAACAACTTCGTTTCGAATTTATTTTCATTCGCGTACGTTTTATTCCTTTTTTTGTTTCTTTCAGGAGCCTATTCTGAGCCTCGTGATGTAAAATAAATACGGCGTTTCTTGAGTTTCTTTTCTGGCTGCCTAAAGTTCATGTTTTTTATTCGGGAGAGACAAAAGAAAAAGTGTATAAAGTGCTTTTTGATATTTGTGCATATGTAAAAAGAAAGTCGGAATATTCAAATTTCAGTGTTAAAATATTTATTGTTTTTCTCATAAGCAATGTATGGAGAGAGAGAGAGAGAGAGAGAGGGGGGATACGCTATCGTACACAACCAACGCGCTCCGCTATTGCGCGCGCTAACTTTAAATTACATCTAATTTGCATTCTCTACTGAGACTACTGAGGCCAAGAAAAACGTCGTTCTCTTAAACTCTCGTCAGATTTCATTCAGGATAATCCGCTAATCTTTCGAGCAGAGATTATGCTAGATCGCAACTAAAAGGGAGAGACAAGAAGCGAAAAAAGAAAAAAAAAAAAAATAAAAACTGAACAAGATTGCGCGCGGTTACAGAGAACCGTTGTCGAAATGCTACAATTCGACTGAAATAAATCGACCGCTGGAACGTCGGAGCCACGTGTCCTTCGTTCGAAACTCCGTTCGAAAACGCTCTCGGCCAGAGATCTACCTTTCACAAAGATGGCAGAAACACGTTCGAAACGTGTAACAACGGTAATGTGATTTCGAAAGTTTCGCTTGTGCACGAAAATTCTGGCGTCTTGCAGCGAAAGCTTGGAAACAGGTGCGGATGGGGTGCGTGCGCATGCGCAGAGTCGAGGCGGCGTCGCGCATGCGTCGTGCTGCGGCGAGCGTAGCGAGGCGCGAGGGCGGTGTCGGTGGTGGAAGCAGGGAAACGTTTTCTACCCTTTGCTCGTTGTCGTCGTTGTCATCGTATGTCCGTCTCTCGTTTCATCGTGCACGCTCGCGGCGTACGGTGCAGTGAGTGATATCTCTCCGTGGTCTCGTCGTGGTCGGTAACGCGGCTCGCGGTTCGTGTCCTCGCCTCGTCGCAGCAAGATCCTTCGCACAGTCGCGTATGATATCTCGAGCTGTCGACCAGTCGAGAGGGATCCTCGATCACGGTGGAATCAAAGATTATAACCTGTCGTCATCGTCATCGTCATCGGCGCCGCCGACGTCGTCGTCGTCAGTCTCGATCAGCTGCTTCGCGGGTGAGTACGGAACATTCCCTATTTCCTTTTTTCCGTGGGAATTTTGCTGTTCGTCGGGCACCGTCCGTGCGGATGTCAGAGTTAACCTAGTTGCGCTGCCTTTGGAACGCCCTCGTGTTTATGCCGCGAAAATGCGAAACGTTTGAAACGCCGGGAGAGAGAGAGGAAAAGCCTGATCGGGATTCTTTTCAATGAACTGCTCTCGTGACTAGGCCGACGCGAATTAGTGAAATTATCGATCTATTGGCGCTCTCTCGGTGTCTTTGCCGATCTCGGAATCCCGAGGGGAATTCCATACCTATCAAGATTAACCCAGTTACGAATTCTCGAACTGTGCTTGCGTAAAACTGAGAAACACGTTGCATGTGATGTACCTTAGTCTCACGTTAAGCTCTTGGCGTGCAACGCGCGAGAAAGGAAAAACAGAGTTTTCGTTTCGCTTTAAGTAGTCTCCGCGCAGTTTACAGTCACTTGTGCGGCGCTTAAATCTACCTAATTTAGCAACCGAGGATAACGGTCCTTGCCAAGTTCTCTCGGCGTGGACGCGCATAAAGGGCAAATTACGTAAATATTCGTATTGCGCTCTCTCTGCTCCCGCTGGCGATCTCGCGGGTAAATACAACGCTCAACGCGCGACGTTTCTTTGTACGACTTAACGAATCCCTGGCGTTGGACGTGCCACAGCGTCTTCAGTTCTGTCACAGTTAACCTAGTTACGGAATCTTTGGTACGCCCTCGTGTTTACACCGCGAAAAGAAGCAGCGTTCGAAAGTTTTCGACGCAGTCGTTGCATTCGGATTACACCGTGCGTATATCGCAGCCTGGTTTCACCGTTTTTCTTCTTCTCCTTTTTCTTTTTTTTAAATATCTTTTTGATGCACAACGTCGGCACTCGAACTTAATTAACGACATTAATTAGGTTGTTAACCTCTTGCGCTGGTAACTGGTTCACGGACCATAACGAGTGACCGAACCGTCATACAATAACTCGTTTTCTTTTTGAATTCATTGGTCATCGCAAGAGGTTAATCTTCGAGTATATATTCCAAATGAAAGGAACACGCGGAATCGATATCTTATCTTTTCTTTCACAGACATGAATATTTCTCTTTTCATTGGCCCTCACCTTGTAATAATGTAATTTGAATATAGTGAAACCAAGTTTCGATGTAAAAATATTTACCATTGCCATGGTGTACGTAGTAATAGCTGGAATGGAACGGCAGTAGAATGTGAACCGACTGCTCAGACGTCCTTGTATTTATCCTATAAAAGCGACCGTTTGTCCCGTTTGGTTTACCGATCACACGGGCGCTGCCTGGCAAGTATCCTCTTTTTCGCTGCGTTTCTAATTAACGACGGGCTCGTGACCGAGTGGTTAGTTTACACACGCGTCAGGTACGGCCATTGCCGCGTATTAAGTGCGCCATTATTAAACGTGTAGCGCAGCCGACTTAAAAGGATTATTTTTACGTGGTTCAAATTAGTTTTTCCCCCGGCTGTATCGCTTTCGCGATTTTATCGTGAATTTAAATTTTTAAAATTTATAATTGTTATACAATTGTAAGTGTGTTGTTATATTTTAAAATATCGAAGCTTTAAAATTTGTATTATTAATACTATAGATATTTTTTTATAAAATATTATAATATTATAATACTATAGATTATAATATTATAATATAATAATACTATGAATATAAATTTCTTTTCTTTCACGTACGAAGAGAGAAGCTCGCGATAGAAAAAAAATTTAAATTTACGCGAAAAAATTTAATAAATATTTAATAAATTTTTCACAAAAAAAGAAAAAATTTAGAACAATTTCGTTCTCAAATTTTTCTTCTCCCAATTTTGCGTGACGACGGATATTATAGCATAGGCAAATTCGGTAACGACTCGTCAAGATCCAGGCGTGACGTTTTTCCAGTGACGCGTGAATCCGAATCGCCGTACTCGCAACTCTCGCTTGTCGAATCGCTCCCGGGCAATTCACGTTTTGCCAGCGGAATTCCGTAATTGCTCG